TCTCCACAAAAGGTAGCTATTACCTTAATTTTCGACAGCATAGTTTGCCTTGTTTTTAAATTTTTGCAAAATGGGATGAAGTTTACTCATCATTATTACTGTGAGATCTATTCATATATCTACAAGTAATTGTATAGCATATATTCTCACTGCTGTTTAATATTCCATTGATTGACTCTACTTCAATCTGTTTATCTTTTCTACCATGAATTATTATTTCAGTACTGGTCAGTTTGAGGTTATTATGTAGGGTGTTACTACAAACATTCTGGTATATTATTATCCTGATGATCTATATATGCATTTTTGTTATATATAAGCTTATGAGTGAGATTCATAGGTTAGACCTATGTTCTGCCTTAAAAGATAATATCAATTTCCTGAAGTTATTCCTACTAACATTCTATGAGAGTGTCAACTGCTCCCCACCCTCACTGACTCTTTGAATTTTTTTTTGTCTTTTTCATTTTACTCATTCTGGTGGAATATGATCACATTTCATTATGATTTAATTTGTATTCCTCTGAGGACTAATGAAATTAAATATCTTTTCACATTGATGTTCTTTTATTTAAGAGTGCTCAAGTATTTTCTACTTTTCCTATTGTCTAACTTTTTATTATTAATTTGTATAAGTTCTTTATGTATCTTGGATGTAAGTATTTTTTGACATATGCATGGCTGTGGGTCTAATTTATTTTTCATTTTTATTGTTTTAACACATATAAGGTATTTAAGAATTGCATTTTAAAATTGACATAGACCTATTCATTAAGAGCTCCATATAAAAGCATAAATACTTCACTGTGCTCCTTGGCATTTGCCTATGATATGGCACAAATTTTAATGACAAAAACGTTAAGGTAGCAAAGAGCTCAAAACAATATAATCCTCTTATACTATAGAAAATAAAGTGATTTTGTATTTTCATGTAGTATGTATGTTCTTTTATGAAAGAGAACAAGGAAAAATATTTTCCTGCTTAGCTTCATGAATCATTTATGGCATTTTAAGATAATTGCATATTACAAAATGTAAATTTTTCTAAAACCATGTAATTGCATTTAATGCAAATGTGAATTACCTAAATTTGTAATTAAACAACATATGTGGTATATTTTCATTTTAAAGTAACGGAAATGTAGTGTTAAAATACATCAACACTCATACACTTCAGAGCTCATGACCTAATGAAGTGCAACTCTGGGTAGTGTTCTCCCCCTGGCTCTGCCACATTATCTGTCAAAGAAATCATTTTCTTTCTTCTTTTTTTTTTTTAATAATTCATTCTGAGTTACACAGACTTGTAATGGCATGAGGTCTCTTGGATAAAATGCTACAGCCTTTAAATATACCAAACCTCTTCAATTCCCAAAACTTATTCAGTTATTTAAGTGGATGCTTTCTGAATATATTATATGCTTTCCTGCCTTATTAAACAGGTAGACTAAACATAATTATTATTTTCTTACTACAAACACATAGTTTGTCATGTTTTCCCCTAGCTTTCTGAATGCTATCTGGCACTACCCTCTGACCTTCCTACAGGGGGCCTGGCATATCAGACAGAAACTGGATTGGTAGCCCAGCTCTGTTACAGGCACGTTTTATGAAATTGACAGTTGTTTAAACCTGATGGGCTTCATTTTCTTAATAACAGAAATGCAGGGGTTGAGCTGGAGGAGGGTCTGTAATGCTTCCACTGGCACAGAGATCTGCTCTGAGTATTCAGTAGGAGGATAAATTATTACAAATGTCATGGTTAGAAAAGTGGGTCTCATCATGGAGGATGTATGTATATATTGATAAACCAGAATCCTCATAATGACTTATCATCAAAAACAGAACAATTAGTATGGAGAAATGAGTGAAGACACTAGAGAATAGTATCTTTATTGATGCTTTTCTAAAGACTGAGACCACAAATTCTTTATCCTCTGACAAATAACCATGGGACTATGCATAAGACCAAGCGGAGCCCAGAGCAGCTGGCCAGTTTTTATCTTGTCCATGCTCTCAACAACGGTAGAGAAGAATGAACATCAATGGGTTTGCCAAAATCTGGAATCTTTCTATATTTTCTTTTTAATTTTTGTCAGTTTTGTGGCTGTGATATGCAATCTGTATATAATTTGTTTTTTGCCTTTCTCTGAATATTGGTAGGATTGATTATTTTTCATTTATCCATAGGCCACATTTATCTTTTTTTCTATGAAATTCTCAACAATTCTTTTTTCCTTTTCTCCCTTTGTCTTTTTTCATACTGATTTATTGGGGGTACTTGCCAGATCCTACATTATTAATTAATATGAAATGAAAACGTTTGCACTCATCTTTTCATATAACCTCTTACTCTTTATTGAAAAACAGATTTTCTTAATTTTAATGTGGATGAATTTATTAATACCTTTAGTACCTTTTATGTCTGTTGTATAAATCCTACTAAGCCTTTACATGCTTGTTTTTTTAAATATATCCTTAATCCAGATAGAATTGGTTTTTGTGATACAACGATATAAAGATCCAATTTCACTTTGTTTATCTAGATGACCAGATGTCTCAGCATCATTTATTGGCAAATCTATCCTTTGCTCATTATCTGCAATGTCTGATTCAATATAAATTATTTTTCATGTACTTAGGAGTATTTTAGCTTATCTTTATTCTCCTCTTAATGTATACTATTAATTGTCACAATTTTATCATAAATGTCCATCTTTATACAGGCAATTTGCTTCATCTTTCTCTGGCATATCTTAGTTRTTTTACACACTTTGTTTTGCCTATAGAACTTATAGAATCAACATTTCACAGTAATTTTAAAAATTCATTGATATTTTTATTGGAATTTTATTGAATCTATAGATTTACTTATATATGTTAAAACATTGATTATCCCCACAATATAGAACCCCACAATCTCTCTAAAATATCTTATTAAGCCAAGTGATATTTGTAGATCATTTTGTTCTTTCAGTTTATACAACTGTATTTGCTAATATGATGTTATTTTTATCTCTTATAATCTTTATACTGTTCATATATTTTCTTGTCTTTCTGTATTAGCTGCAATTTCAAATATGGTATTGGGTAGAAATTTTGATAGTGGGAATCCTTTTCTGTTTCTGATCTTAAAGAGCATATTCTGGATTTCATTAGTATGGCTTATGTTCTTTGTTTTAGATCATTTATCACACTTTTCCCTTTAAGTAGACAAGGAGAAAGGCATCTGCCATTCGTCAGCTTTACCAGATGCTTGTGCTGACGTCTCATTTTATCTTCATACCAATCCCCAAAGTTCAGTATCACTCACCAGTTTCAGAAAGTAGAACTTGGGAAGATAATTGCTCCCAGTCACAACAAGTGGCCAACTTGCAATCTAAACTCATATCTTGGGTCATCTCACCCCCTCATATTACAGTTATATTTAGTTGTGTTGGTGCCTAATCTTGATCATATTGACCTGACCAGGGAAGCAGACACCTCTACTGTAAACATTCTGACATAGAATTGAGGTTAGCTATGGCCACTCTTTATTCCAAATCAGTACTAGACTTTAACATTGCAGCATGAACAATCTGTAGTTTGAATGTATGAAGGGGAGGGACTCACTGGTATGGATCCTGCTGTCTTTCCTATGACTCTTACTCAGAACATTGTGTGTTAGACATGACTGGTAGTCTTCATTATTTACCAGTAGTCTGTGACTGTTGTAACAGGGTTCAATCCCTTGTAAACATCCCTAGTGCTTACTTATGGTCTTACTCAGTACCATGGCTCGGCTACCTATGGCCACTATGACTTGTTTCTTCATTCAGGAAYTCAAGTCATCTGGCACTGAGGAGTTGAAACCTTGATTTGAGCCCAGATTCCAAGATATGAGTTAACAAAGAAAATAGTCCTGAAGTAAAAACCTGTTCTCAGGGGCAGAGTGGAATGCCTGCTGGTATACAAACCCTCCAGTGGCCATAACAGCAAAACTATGTTACCAGTGGAACAGATTAAATTTCTCCATTATCACTTATAATTCTATGTTTATAGTTTACTGCAAGCTGATTTCCAACCATACAATCTCGTTTTTCTTGGCACACTCTCATTTGCCTAGCAAGTCAAGGGAGCTTTTGGCTTACATTCTTCCCTTGGTTAAACTCACTTCATCAGGGAGAAGACTGCTCTTTCCAAAGAACCACATTTCTGTTTGATCTGTGTAGCATCTTGTGGGATCCGCATTGCTAATCCTAAATATAGCAAAGACTGAGATACACAGGAGATGTTAAGACTTCATTTACAGGCTGTCCCAAGATGATGTGCTAGAATTCTTACCAGTCTCATAAAAGGCAGCCTTACCATCTGCTTGATGAGACCAGGGAATGAATTAACGATTCAGCTGACTCCATTAGACTTTCTGTTACTGTTCCCTCCATGGGAGGGGGGAATATACATTCTCTATGGGAGATATTTACCCCCAGATCAAATAATTTTTTTTCCTTCCCCTTAACAGATAATTTGTTATGGCCTCATAGTGATAGAAATATGTGGCCCTTCATTGAAAAAATATCTTTGAATATAAATGTTTCACTGAAAATTAAAATAACTCCTCAGTTAGACGGAGAGAATGTGGCAAACATGTTGGGATCCATTGGTGCCAGCACAGTGGAACCATCTAATATGCATTTATGGTACCTGATTCATGCCCTGGAGAGATCACAGAGCTGCTTTTTCTGATCAGAGCTCTTGCAGTGATACTTAAAAATTAATTGAATTTTCAAGAATGTCACTTTTAGCTGCTACTATAGTTGATGGCCCAAAAGCTGAGGAGGTTTATTAAAAATATACTGCCACCTACAGCACTATTGGAYTCTTTGACAGGGCTCTTGTTGTGAATGTTAATTAGGCAAAGAGTTCATTTGGGACCTGATTAGTTATTGTTTTTGTTAAGATCTGCTGATCTGCATAGTGTGTACCTTTACTTATGAATCTATCTATCTGTTTTCCTCTAG